ATATATTTTGTATTATAATTGAAATACATCATTATTTGATCTAAATCACTTGTGAATTTGTGAATTTTATAAGGAGGTTTGAATTTCTGACTTCAATAAATACAGCTCAAGTCACCTGACCTCTACCTCAGTTCTGATCAGCACTAATCAGTCTTCTGGAATTCCATTCAGATTCCGGCGGAATCCATTGGAACTCCATTCAGAATCCAGCGGAATCCATTGGAATTCCATTCAGAATCCGGTGGAATCCATTGGAATTCCATTCAGAATCCGGCGGAATCCACTGGAATTTGAGATTCCTACCATTCCGGCGGACTCCAGATGGAATTCCGACATTCTATGGGAGTCCGTCGGAGTCCGCCGGAACTCATGGGGGAGGGTAAAGTACTGAAATGTGCTCATAATTTTCGTTCTGTTTTCGTTCTGGTTTATTTAGGTCAACTTTTAACCACAAACGTCCAAAGTCAATTCAGCCGCCCCGCATGAAGGACGAGCCCCAATGCTATGAGCAACCCGTAACCCTCCTAACTGCTCTGATACCCATCCGCCCACCCTCAACCACTCGCCCCACACACCAATGCGTGCCATAAACCAAAAACTGCAGGGACATAACCACCCCTACCATGGAACAAATAGTGATCACACTTTCTGGCCAGGCGTCGAAAGCCACAAGCTCGAGGAAGAGCATGAGGGAGAGGGTGGAGATGAACATCCAGAGACCTAGGACACGCGCTGAGAGGGAGAAGAAGAAGTAAGAGCCGTATACATCCCGAGCACGAGCCTGGATCAGGAAGGGTTAGAAGAGACAGCTGAGTAGGAATAGGAACGTACAATGAATGTCTGTACGTCTGCCCAGTTGCATCTTAGAAGAAACCACGCGTCACATGCGATGCCGAGACCAGATGCAATGCTGCTCGTAGCAATAGCACTCCGAGCGTAGGAGTTGACATCGAATAGTGACCCTGGGGAGATGGAGAAGACGGCTTTATCGACATTGATGTAGGGGACATCAGCAACTCTCAGGGAACGAAGTTGAATGTACATACGCTGCTTAAACTTTGTAATCTAAGTCCAACTTCTGCAGTCTTTTGTAGTTTGCCAGTAAACTTTGTAGTCTATGTCTAACTTTTTGTGTTGTAGTCTTTTGTAGTTTGTCAGTAAACTCTGTAGTCTAAGTCCAACTTTTTGTGATATCTTGTAGTCTATTAGTAGACTTTGTAGTCTGTCAGTGTCAGTTTCCCTTTTAAGGCATGCACCTTCCTTTTTTTGGTCATTTTCCCCATGATACAATAATTGTAGCCCCT